ATTATTTCAAAATGAAAAAACGGAGTTTTATTAAGTCAAAATTAGGTCATTATTTGAGAGAGTTTCTACAAAAACATCAGATCCATGCTGTGCAGCAATATGTAAACTAAAAATGGTCTTAATAGTCACTTTTGAGAGTGGCACTCATCCATATTATCTTCATCACTCTATGTAAAACTGATTTGTTATACATGCTTGTAGTTAATGTGCTGACACTAGTAACTTATTTTCTAAAGCCTATTCTAAATTTAGTTGGCTTACAACGAAAGAAGGTATATAACAAAAGAGTATGTGTCTAGTAACTTCTGCATTTAATTTTTCCCTTGCCACTGTTTATCTTCTGGGAATCCTCAGCTCTATACCTTGCAATAATTTTGCTCCATATTCAAGCACCCTAATATATTATTTCTAGTAGGTCTTTTGATATCAGTTATGAAAAACATGAATAGGAAGAAAAACATGTTCCTCATGTCTGCTTGTGGGTTTCTTTTTGGCATCCAGTTAACCACTGAAGGCCAAAATAGTTTTTCTTTTGTTTTTAAATATGTTACTAGTGGTTTTTAGCTAAAGAGGGAAACATGATAGCCAACAGCTGGAAGCCTATCCAATGCGGCTTCCTGCTAAATATGATTTTAAGCAAGTTTATTATATAATAACTTTCTGGAGTTAAGAATGCTCAAGATATACAAAAAACATAGAATGAATATCTAAATCATCTCATGTATTTTTCAAAGAAAATGTTCATACAGAATCCCGTAGTTTAGACCAAAAAAAAAAAAAAAGGCAAAAAATGCTGCCAAGCATCTACTACTTCTTGGCTTGTAAAATGTTACATGTCTGTTTCTTCCAAAGGGAGAGAGAAGAGATGCTGCTTTGACATACACAGCATCAACGGCTAATGGCTCTTCCCTTTAATAGGTTAAAAAAACTGCAGAATCAAAACCAGGGCATTGAGAAAGTAACAGTACTCTCTCTTAGAGAATTACCTCCTGTTCAGAAAGATTTTATTTAATAATTTTCTAACACAAATCTAATAAACCCTAACAAACATTTTTATCAACTGTTATGTACTATTAACTCCTAGAATATTATATGGCCTAACAACTCTGCCTCCCGCATAGCATACCTAACTAAATTCAAAATATCTAAACACAGAAGGGCCTTTACTCTGGCACGATGTTATGCCCTCCCCACAGCTGTCTTTGAAGGCCAATACAGGAAGATTCCTTACTCAGAGAGACAATGCCCCTGTGACTGGATGCACAGAAACAAGAGAGCATGTGCTTTCTCCACTGTCTGTACTACAGAGATGTTCACACTAGCCTCATCTCACCATTACTACATAAATATCCAGGGTGCACAAGACAATTTTATATGCCCCTGTTACTTTCAGATACCAACCCTGCCACAACATACAATACTGCCAGGTTCTGTGCAGCAGTGCTCAAAATTTGTCAGACGATGGCTTGTGCTTGGGGCTCAACTTTATAAACTAAATCTAATGAGCACCTACTTGGTCATATTAGAGTGTTTGTAACAATATCATCTCCTATATACTAAATTTTTATGCTCCCCTACCCCTTCTTTTAGATTAAAAACTAAAAAAATATATAAAAATGATAATTTATATACGTTATACCTTCTAACTTTTTAAAATTCTTTTTATATTTTAATAATAATTTATTGAAGTTTTCATTTTCACTCTAGATGTATATTTTAGATCCTTTATGGTTCTTTTTAATGAGTTACCTCACCCTCCTTATGCTGGTCTAGGACCATAATAAAGATTTGATTTGATATGGCCTAACAACTGTTTTGTGTTTACATAATTTCTACTTATCTTTATATAGCAGCTATCCTCAGCTAGTTTCTAGACAGGCATTATGAGAGTTATCTAACACATTAGGAGAACACAGGATGAAAAAGGTTCTAGAACAATCACAGAGGATATCTAAACTTATTTAGATATCAAAGGCATTTATTAAGAACTAAGACAAGGAGCATAGGCTTGAAAATTTATCCAACTTGTCAATTTCTGATTGAATTGTTGTTACTCTTGTACAGCGAGGCTCACATTTATGCTCAAAACAAGTTTTGCTGGCAACTGAAGTCTCTCTTTTGGACCTCCAACCACTCACAGACACAGTTGCATTTCCAGGACACAAGTCACACACTTCCATGGAATCCTTATAGAAGAACCTTGAGAATCGACCCTCACTTACAGGTCCAATTAGCTGAAAGTAGTAATTTTATCTGCTGTTAACTTGTCAAACTGAAAAGGAACAATGCAATTAGATGGAAAGCATTGCTTGATATTCTGTCTGTCTGAAAAGCCAGTTTAATCTTACTTCTAAAAACAATACTGATTCTATCCCATTCTGCTGCTGAACTACTTCTCCCACAGACTCATTTGTGATACGACAGCAAAAATGTGTTTCTGATAACTAGAGTACTTCATAAGAGTAAAATATATAATTTGTAAAGAAAACCCCTTTCCTTTAAATAATGGTAAATACTGAATACCATGTTTCAGAGAGAAAACAGTGAAGGGGAACTTTTTTTGTTGAGAAAGGAGGATATAACTATTGCTTTGCAGAGAGGTCTGTATTTGGAAAGATTTAAATGCATTTATTCTTAGCCCAAATGAAAGCAAACTGGTTAGAATGCAAATATTCTAGTATATAACAAATTGTAAAATTTGTAATAATGAAACCATGTGATAACTAATAGGCTTGTCCATGATCTATTTTGCATCTTAGCTTTTCAGAGGATGAAGAAGAAATATCAAATATCAAGAAGGCAACAAGTGTACAGTTACATATCAAAAATATCAAGAGACCATCTAATTATAATTATAACCCTTGAAGAGGCTGCAAATATAAGCAAATGATATATATTTATGTTTTTAAAAAGAGTATGTAATTTCAGTTCTATACATTTGAAAGCATGGCTCCTATCTCCACTGTGTACCTAGTCTTAACCTGTTCTTAATTAAGAGGGGAAAGATATCTACTTGTTCAACAAACTAAGGAACTATGCAAAGCAATACATGTACCTTTCTGTAATGTCTTTTTACCTCTCTCTAGCACAGAACAAAGATTTCAGGTAACATTTCAAGAGGTATAAAAGTCAACAACATTTTCATAAATTTATAGGACAGCTATATATCCTTAATCATTTTATAATTTCTTGGAATCATAAACAAAGATTTAAAAAATAAAAATTCACTGTGGAAAAACATTGAATAACTGCTAAACTAGCATGCAAAGTCTAAAAAAGATGTAAAATTCAACAAGCACTAACACCACAAAAGATCCATTCAACAGAGTTGCAAATACATTTTTGATGTACATAAGATGAAGTTATAAGAGAAATAAAAAAAAAAAATTAGTTACTGCAATGCCACTCAACTCTACTTATTAAATCTGGCTAGGAAATATCTCCCCACATATACCCAGCCCAAAAAACATAAGTAAGTAAAATATTACGTAGTGGTGAAAGTGAGTGGCATTGGAGAGATCTAGGTTTAAGTCTTCTCTTAATCACTGAACCTCACTGGGTGACTTTGAGCCAGTCACTCTCAGCCCAACCTATCTCAGAGGGTTGTTGTATGGGGAAAATGGGAAGGAGTGTTACATACATCACCTTAAGCTCCTGAACAAAAGGTGGGATATACTGCTAATACATAAATAAAGCCCATAACGGGAAAGGATGAGTAGCTCAAACATCTTCATGAAGACATCAGTCTATAGATTAATTAAAACTTCAGATATACTGCAAAATTAAAATCCCACATTATACAGAAACCACCAGTATATCATAATCCCCTTATATAAGGCTCTGGTGTGATTACACTTGGAAACCTATTAATCATTCTTCTATTTCATCCTCCTGATTCCATTCCTCTATTCCATCCTTTGGATCATATTAGTTGTCTTTTTTAACACATTTTTCAGCTCTGTATTATTACTTTTCATATATAAAAATGAAAAGTAATAATACAGTAAAAAAGTAATAATAATACAGAGCTCAAAAATGCGTAAAAAAGGCAACTAACATGATCAGAGGATGGAATAAAAATAAAAGACTGCAATGCATGGAGCTTTTTAATGCAGAACAAAGGTAAGTGGAAAAATGACAGAGGCATATAAAGTTGATAGAGAGATTTTTTCCCACTTTTAACTTTCTACGAATTAAAATGAATCAATGCACTAATAGGAAATCTAAAACTGACATTTTCCCATATATCAAAGTTATAATGTGGAACCCATAACTGAAATATGAGGTAATGATTGTCAGCTTAGGTTGCTGAGAGAACTAAAAAAGTACATAGAAAGCGATGCTGTCAATATCTATTAAACGTGGAGGCTATGCCTCTAAACACTGCCCATAGATAGCTATACTACAAGACAGTTGTTGCAGATGTGTTCTGCTTATGGATTTTTATAGTGAACAGGTCTGTTAATCTCAAAACCAGATGCTGGCAAAAATATCCTTTGATCTGAAATGCAGAATTTGTCTTGTGTTACTTTTTGATCTGTTCTTTGTGCACTATGAAGCTAGGCATACAATCAACCGTCCCATGAAAAGTGGGTACCTCCTTTAGCATTCTGCCTGACCTTTCAAGAATTACACAGAGCCAAATCTATTTATTGTAAGATGAGCAAGCCAATGAAAATTCCAAATTGGCATATATAAGACAAGTCCTGATACCAGTCAGTTCTATTGGCTTTTGTTATTACATTATGTATTTAATGTAAGACAAAATTACATTAAATAACTCATAAATAAAAGAATAACTCTTAATTATATAGAAATTTTGAAAAAGAAAAGAAAATGTATAGTAGTAGTTTCAGACAAATATAAGGTTCTAATAATTTCTGGAAGTTCAAATTTACAATAGTCTGGGGTTGCAAATTCAGGCCCATATAAGATTCTGTACATCTGTATGTTTTACTGACTGTCACACGAAGTGGGAAATCTGTCAACGTCAAGCTCACCTTCCCTACAAAGTCGCATCGCTTCTCGGTTTTTACCATATTCCTTGAAATTTTCTTCCAAGGCTGCTCCTGTGAGGATATGACAAACAAAAGAAAAATGTTATAGTATGTGGAGTTGCTTTTACAGTGTCAGCTACATAGCAAATTATATTCTGATTAAATCTAAAACATTCAGTGCAACAATGATATAAAATGAATTTATCTGTGCTCTTTCTCCCTATCTTACATAAAATGGCTTAACTTCATCTGATAGGAAAAATACTTAAGATACAAAACACATGTAGTAGAAGCGTCCCTTCCCTCTTCAAAAGCAAGTGAGTACTATAACAAACATATATAATAAAGAGTTATTTAATATGATCTAGGATTCAAATACTAAAGGAACATCTGTTACAAAAATAATTTTATTTTAAGAGAATTAGAAATCAATTTTCTACATCCAACTTTGGCTTGCATCAAGGAAAAGGGACTTCTCTGCACTGGCTCCTTAGCTCTGGAATGCTTTCCTTTGAATACGAATAACAGCAACATCCCAAGCCATATCAATACTAGGTCCAAACATGTTTGTTAAAATATTTTCAAATTGGTCTATTGTTATAAGCTATAAGCTCTTTTTTATCTATACACTGTAGTGGCAAATGGCCATAAATGGACTAAAAAATATAAGTTACTAGGCAATAATCATCATCTGGAGAGGTATTCTCTTTCAAAACTTGACACTGGACTTTGATATACTCATGAACTGGAATCAATAGCCTCCACTTATTTAAAAAGTGGCAGATTCACCTAATAGCTCCACAGTTTTTATTCTGAAAAGGACAGTTAGTTAATCCTATTCACAAATGCGTTATCAATAACTCCCTGCTCAAATGCTACAAGCAACATAGATTTGAGGGGAAACAAGTTTATGAGGTGTATTCTCCAACTCCTCAGGGTTAAACTGAACCCACCCTCCATTAAAGCCAAGATCAATGTGCTTATCTCAAGAACTGGCAAGCTGTAAGATGTTAGAATTTACAGGCTGGAAAAAGCTAAAGATGGAAGGACCAGCACTGTAGGGTTCCTGAAGGTTCACCAGCTTTCACTGAAAAACAGGTGTTTGATCAGGTTGTCCCACATGCTGGCAGATTATTGTCAGCCACTGTGGTGTTGAGATTCCAGATAATGCCTTCAACATTTATATAGGATGTAGGGGTACAGAGAAAAGTTCCTAAATATGTCTATTTTAGCAGCACCTTCAACCTAGCAAGAGGCCTTGGCTTCACCAGTTCAAGAGGTGGATATACTACATCAAGTCTTTGTGCTAGAATATACATACCGATATGGGCAATCTGAAATGTTGCCTATTTTATGCAGGCTTATTTTCTACTCTTAAATCTCTTCCAAATAAAGCTCTGCAGGATGTAGTTGTATTTTTGTTGTATGGCAAACTGCCTTATATTTCTTCTTGGTAGCATATTTTGTATAAGCTACTACAAATTACATAATGGTTTTAATGCAGCCTATTTTTTATTATTGTAATATCTATTTCTTATTTTGATGGCTCAAAAATGCATGTCATAGGGATTATTATGTATTACATCCCATCTTTCTTTATTCTTAGTGCAGTGCTCTGATATTTCTGATATGTTAAAAAAGAGCTCATTCAGTATTTGGATGTATTATACTTTCCATATTACAGCTTTTATTCACAAGTATGCCACAAAATATAGGTTTCCAGGGGTGGAATCATTTCTATCATAAGAATGATTTATAGGAGCATATCAACCTTCCTGCCATGTTTACATTATCTTGTCTCATCTCCTTCTCCCATGCAGCTAAGGAGGATTTAAGGTACTTTTGCTTCCACTTTTAGTTGCAGTTCCCCATATCTTCTGAACCAGTAACTATAGTTAACCTTAATAAGCTTACTTAGAAATCACTCCACTCGATTTATTTTAAATTTAACATGGATGTTGTTAATTACAGTTTGTTGCTTCATCAAACATGGCAAACTGCAGTTAACTAAAGTGAAAACGGGAGGATAGAATAGAGGAATGTGTAAATCCAAAGAACTCAGCTTTCTGATACCATGTAACCTGCAGTTGGCATACTGTTAAGCATAGCAACTATAATATGAAAATGGGAGAGTGATCTGGTGATCCGGTGCCATCAGTATGCTACTAAAACTCATCCAGGGCCATACCTGAAGGCTGAGATCTGGATGGGCTAAAATTGAACCCTATCCAGACAGAGTGACTATTTGTCCATCATGGTTCTCTGACTACTCCAGTGATGTCTCTAGAAATGGAAGCACTGGCCCTGAAAGAGCAGGTCTGCAACTTTGGGGTCCTCCTGGACTCAAGGTTCCTGCCTGAACAGCAGGTGGAGGTCATTACTGGGGGAGCCTTTGTTCAGCTTCAGCTTGTGTGGCAATTGGGGCTCTATCTGAAGCAAGAGCACCTTGCTACAGCAACATATGGCTTCATTACCACTTGCTTAGATTACTGCAAAGCACTCTACATGGGACTGCCTTTAAAGACCACTCAAAAGTTTCACTTTGTTCAAAATGTAGCAGCTTAAGCACTATTTGGCACTTTCTGGTAGGAGTACCAAGAGCTTTGGGTCCTGCACTGGCTTCCTATTGGCATTTGGTTGCACTAAATTAAATTAAATTGAAGTTACATGTCATATTGAAGGATCGAGGACAGTGCCTTCTCTGTCATGGTCCCCACCCTCTGGAACAGCATCTCCCCAGTAATAAGGACAGCACCCTCTCTCCTGGGGTTCTGGAAAGCGCTTGAAACCTGGCTTTAGTCCCAGGCCTGGGATTAACGTATTACTGTATTTCGGGGGGGGGGCTGTTTTATTTGATTTCTGTTGCTTTTAAGATCCTTTTAGTTTGGGCTGTCTGCGTGGTTTTATGTTTTATCTGTTTTTATGGATCTTTTTTGGTTTTGTATGGCACCCAGAGTCCACTGGAGCTGGGCAGCTATAACAAATTTGAATAAGTAAATAAAAATAATAACATTTAAAGTGCTGGTTTAACCTATAAAGCCCTTTATATTTCACACCACATTACCTTCAAGAATGTGTCCATTCACTGGAATCAGGCTAACCAATTTGATCTTACCAGAAGCAGCTACTGATTCCCCACTTTCAGGAGGCACAGGGGGGAGGGGGAGCTCAGGGGTGCTGCTTCTTCAAAGCAGCACCAGCCCTCCAGAATGGCCTCCCACTACAGCTCAGTTTAGCTCAGCTCTAACTTTTAACTGCCTTCCAGAAGCAGCTGAAAATATCTGATGTGTGGATTTTTGTTTTGTTTTTTTTCTATGTTTTATTACTTTAATACTGACTGTGGATGTCTTTGGTTGCATATTTCTATAAAACCACTGAGAGTCCTGTGGAATAGTGGCGAGCTACAAATGTTATAAATAAATAAATAAAATGATGTCTGCTAATATTATATTAAATACCCTTGGAATCTCATTACACTTCTAAATAGACCAAAGGAACAGTTATAAGTCTTTTGCTTCATGTGATTTGAAGGAAGAGTACAGTAGACTTCAAAAATCCCACTACAAACAAAATGTGCTTTATAGGATGTCATCATTATAGAAATAAAAACACCAAGAAATAGGAACTGCTGTCCTGGTTGTCATGACAAATGAGTTGCAGGACTTACCTGAGATCTAGCTTTTTCAAAAAATGCCCTATTATTTAAACATAAAGTCTTCCTTGAGTCAAGCTGGACTCCTGTTGCTTTCATACAAAATGTCCATGCCGTTTTCGTGGCAGCAATATGGAAATGAATTGCCACTGCCTTCTTCCACGACTTTTTAAAAAAATTCCCAGCCTACCCTAGAGCTCTGGAATTTCCTGGTGGTCTCCCATCCAAGTGCTAGCCAGTCCAGCATGCTTAGGTTTTCATAATCAACCAAGGTCAGCTAGGTACTGCCACCTGCCTGGGCAAGATTTGCTGACTGACCTACCTTCCTATAAACCTATGATACTGTCAGGGGTGCGAGGTGGAGTAGAGACATAAACAGGACCTTCGTGGCCAACTCTCCCTCCCCCCCAGTCTTACTCTGGGACAGATTACCAGACAATTCGGGAGAAGAACGTTAGGCGACCAGCTGTGTTAACCCTTCCGCTGCCGGCGAGACCCCTCCCCTCTCTTCCCCTCCCCCACGGAGAAGGGACTCCCGCTCACCATCGTTCCCGTGAAGTTTAGCAGCATCGACCCAATGGCTCCAGGGCTGCCCCAGCATTGCCTCCGGGCTAGGCAAAGACCTGCGCTCCCCGACGGTCGCCATTGCTGCGCTGGTGGCGGGGGGGGTACTGGCGGGGATCGTGGTGGCGGGGCCGAGGCCGCTCTCGGCGCTGCCCCCTCCGCGCCCGGGCCGCCCCTCCCGCCCCCTGGGCGCCGCCCCCGCCGCCCTGCGGTTCTCCCCTC